TTTTGAAAGGATTAAATCATCTTTATGACAATGGGAGGAACAAATAGCGTTATTTGCACTTATATTTTGCAATGATTTCTTCCAATAGCTATTAACCAAGAAGCATACGCCTTTTCCTCAATCTAAAAAAATTATAGTAATATCAACGTTAGATACCTACATACAGTTTGTTATTGTACTATGATATTTCGTTTTCTAGAAAATAAAACTGTGGTGAAGAATACGGTTCTGGTAGAAATGATGTCTTACTTGTGGAATGTAATGTTTTCTGAATCCTCGTTGTTTAAACAACCAAAAACAAAGCAAGTCTTTCCCATTTTATTAATTGTCTATAGTAAAAACTTCTAAAATTCTTTTAAATTCACTAAAATAGCGAATTTCGAAAGAAACCAAGAATAGTTGACATAAATGACACTTCTGTCAAAACACTACAACAACTGCGCATGTGCGTTGTACGCTTAAATTGCCAACATGGCGGCCTACATGGTGTGATTATTTTGAAACACAGGGGAAAACGGCCTTTTCCTATCTCCTCTATCCAAATCTGTGTTTGGAACCATCGGTGTAGCTATGAATCGTACCTGCCACTTCTTGCTCTTTTATTTGTTCTATTTTAACTTTATATGACTTATTAGAAGATATATCTCGGTGAGATGGAGTCCATGTTCACTTAAAGCAGTGGGAACATATCGAGCGCCTTCTGTTAAAAGCGACGTCTCGTCTCACCAGATCCTATATCAGGTTCTATTCCAACTGTGCGGAGGCGTGTCATTGTCGTCAGAGCAACCTCCTTGATGTAAATATCAAGAGAAATGAGACTAAGAATGACTTCCATGGCTCTGGACGGTGTTGTTTTCATGGCTCCTGTTATGTTGAGACATGCTGTTCTTTGAATTTGTCCTAGCTTACGGATAGCTGTTAATTTTTGGGTTTTTGGTACCCAGATAACTGCACCGTATATTAGTATAGGTCTTATGATAGCCGTGTTAGTCCATGCGACGACTCTGGGGGAGAAACCCCAGGTACGCTTCACATTTCGGCGGCACTGTTCATAAGCAATGGCTCTTTTAATTATGTTAAATGCGAGTTCCATGTTAACTTGCTGTCAAAGGTGAGACCAAGGTTAACCTCTGTTGCAAAGTTTAGTTTTGTGTTTAGGAGTTCTGGAGGTTTTAATACCATTTTCATCCTTTTCCGTGTGAAAAGGACCATTTCTGTCTTCCTAGCATTGATAAACAGTAAATGGTCCTTGCATCACTGTTCTATAATTTTTAGAGCTACTTGCCCAGACAGCACACAATGTCCATTGGACGTCCATATTTTGTCCAAATAATGTCCTGGATGTCCATGAACTTCATATGAATATTCATTGGACATCCGTTTTCCGTTATCCAATGGATATACCCATTCAGAAGTCCAATGGATGTCCAAAAAATGTCCATGATGGACACTATAAAAATGACTAACTTATAATAAATTATTATAATTCTTCTTGTATAATTTAATTATTTACTACGTTTTAATTAAAATAAATAAATTAATTTTCATCTCCACTCGCCTCTGTTGACAAGATGGAAAAGTAAAAGGCCACTCAGGCCAGACTGGAAGAAGAAAAGAAGAAAGAGGTTAAGAAGAAAACACAGCCAATATGTAGCGTAGCACATAGATCATAGATGTTTATCTGGTAAGAAAATAAGTATAATTAACATTAAATCATTTAAAAATCTAAAAATTAAAAAGCAAATCGTTTGTTTTAAACTAATATAACCTATCAATTATGTTTTAAACTTTGTTTTCGATTTACATTCAAAGAATCCCTTTCTTTTAGACTTTTTGTCAAACGATGTATCTACCTACCTATTTAAGAAAATGGCTTTACTAAAAGCTAACTAATATGCTGCAAATTCGAGATGATATCAACACAATTATTATTGTAACTAAGAGGTAAGAAAACTTTCAAAGCAGAAGAAAAGTTTCTATTTGTACTGCATGAGACGTTAGTTTTACTTTTATTAAATAAAATAGAATCGTTCTGTAACGTTTAAGAAATAATGTATTGAAAGTGGTTTCATAAGTTATTTCTCTTTACTGTTCACAAATACATATTTTTATTGCAATTTTGGATTCAGCAGTTACCAAAACCAGGGACAAGGACGAACTTATAAAAAGATGGTTTGTTTCCATAATTTCTAATACCCTCACGAAAGAATTCACGTAATATGATGGTATGAAAGTAAAATGGTAATTTAAAGAAACAATGAGCAGTTTTTTGTTTATATGTAAGTATAGGGGTAAAGTACATAAGTCAATGCATATTTTCATATTAGCTAATAACATTTTATCCAAAAATTTTACATTTTTAACTATCACTTTTGCCTGATCAGGCGTTTATTAATCGATTGATTTAAGACTCAATATTCGTATAAAATGTAATGCCTTTTTTTAGCTGCTGCTGAGAGTGACAATGGTGTTGCTTAAAAAGTAAGCGAAACAAGCCTTAAGAAAAGGCTGAGAAGGTCAACAGGAAGGAGTGCGTATAAAACTAATACATGCTTGATATTATTTATGACAATAAAAATAAGTATAGTTGCAATTATTTTATTTCATATTAATGTAGATGGTGATGTCCGTTAGATGTCCATAAATTGTCCAAAATCAATACAAAAAGTGTCCATATATGGACCTTTCATGGAGTCCAAATGGACGTCCAGGAGTGGGACATTTGTATAGTCCAGTGGATGTCCATTGGACGTCCTTCGGCAAAGTGCTGGACGTCCTTTGGACAGCCGATATGTCTATGAATGGACTTCCGATGGACATCCAATGGATTGACTTGTGCTGTCTGGGTGCATTCTTTCGCAGAGTATGTTCTCAAAATTTCCTGTTTGCAGAATGACCAAGTCATCTGCACATGTTATTGTGTAGTGACTTTCATTATTGAGCCGGCTGATGAGGGTGTCGAGGACCATATTCCACAGTAGAGGTGATAGCGCCCCTCCTGTACACATCCCCTCGCAACCATGCCTCTTATATTTACATCTTCTACACTTATGTTTACTGCTCGCTTTGAGAGCATGTTATGTATCCACACACTAACCATTGTGGAACATTCCTGTTAGTTAGTAAGTGTATTATCTTTGGGAAGGTGGTTTTATCAAAAGCACCTTCTATATCTATGAAAACACCCAAGGTAGACTCCTTATTGTCCAGGGATCTTTCTATCCGTCCAGCAACTAGATGAAGGGCTGAATTAGTAGATCTGCCTGGGGTGTAACCATTTTGGTTTGGGTGAAGTGGAGTTGTTGTAATCACCGTATCCCTTATGTACCTTTCGCATAGCCTTTCCAATGTCTTAATGGAAAACGATGTCAGACCAATTGGTCAGTATGTTTTTGGGACAGTGTAACCCATCCTTTCAGGTTTGCGCATAAATACCACTTTTACCTCTCTTTATTTTTTGGGGATATACCTCAGAACCAACGAGGATATAAAAATACCCACCAGGTGCGGTGTGAGTTCTTCCAGACCCCACTGAAGTAGAGCTGGATAGATACCGTCAGGTCCTGGCGATATAAATGGAAAGAAGCTGGATATCGCCTATCTAATTTTTTCATCGTCTGCAATGTGTTTGGCAGTTTGCCAATCATAGACAGATGGATTGTATTCTTCCTCTGCCCAGTCCGCCACGTCTGTGATGACCGAGTCAGGGAAGTGTGTTGACAGCAGAAGTTTGATGCTATCTTCGAGGTTGGCAGTTTCCGTGCCATCGTCTTTGATTAGCGCACCAATGCTTCGGTGTGGATCTTTTGAGAGAGTTTTTGAAGTCTCGCTGCCTGCAGGAAATCTTCGATTTCTTCGCAGTAGGATATCCATGCATCTCTCTGTTTTATCTGACGATTTTTTGTATTCTCTGAAGTGAGATTTGTAAGTATCCCAGTCTTCTTTGAGTGTTGTGATTCTTGCCTTATGATGGTACATAGTTTTTCCAAAATCTCACTAGTTTTACTGTAACGTCAGAGAAGCATATTTTAAAAAATACACAATATTATGGTATTTTGACAATACAATATTATACAGTACAAATTTTTTATACAGGGTAGTTTTAATAGAAACAGTTAGATTACCCAGTACATTTTGAAAACCTAAGTTTACACATCTACTGTTATATTAATAACTTACTCACTAAAGGGAAATTTAATTTAGGAAATTTCCATATGTAGGCAGATGGGCAGAAGAAAATCCCTTTGCAAAAGTTAGTAAATATCTTAGTAACACCTTCCCTTATTGGTCCAGGGAAGTTAGGAAAAATAGCAAAAATTTTTAGGGACAGCAGATATCGAGATGCGGTTTTCTGCTTTGTATTCAGGAAGGTCCCAGGAAAAAGTCTATATCGTGTGTTCTAGCCATTTTTTTAAAAATGCCTTTTGGGTCGTAAAATTCATTTTCCAATTGCCTCATTTCTTGCATCATTATAGGAACGACTGGAACTCAGAAAAATCGCTCGGAAATCGTTACTCGGGAGGTTTTCGGGGGTTTTCGGGACTGCCGAACTTGATTCTGGCATTAGAATTACCCAGGGGTGATCAAGGGTGGCTCTGTGGGGGGTGCGCAAGTGGTGTATTGGCAGCGTGCATGAAAATCGCTCCAAACTCGTTAATCGGAGATTTTAGGAGATGCCAAATTCAATTCTGGCATTGGAATTACCCGGGGGCGCTCGGGACGGCTCTGCGGGGATATCCGAGGGGCCATTCTGGAGGGGGGGGGGAATTGCGTAGTTCATGGGAAGCGCTCCAAACTCGTTACTCGGGGGGTTTTCGGGGATGCCGAATTCAATTCTAGCATTAGATTTCCCCGGGGCGCTCGGGGGTAGCTCTGTTGGAAATGGTAAAGGAGAAAGTGAAAAATAAAAAATTATGAAACAATACTTTATTCAAATAACAAATAGGAGTTTTTATTAATGTTGAATTATTCATTATAAACTTAAATTTTTAACTTAAATACTAAACATCTTGTTCAAACTCTTCTTCATCTTCTTCCCCTTTTTCATCTTTTTCCTCGTCACTAATCTCGGCCACATTGGAAGTGCCTTTTTGGTTTGAGCTGTTGCCATCGCAATGCTTGCATGCAAGTGAGCACACCAACCTACTTCGGCGGCACCCGCACCACGTGCCACAGTTGGTTTCACAAGAACAAGAAATTTTCATGGTGACAGGGCTGAGCTTTCCATCCACCAATTCTTACCCCCATTCCAACGGATCTAAGGTCTCGTTTTGACCTTGTAAACCATACCACACCTGTACTTGGAAATAGACACGCTTGATATGCTCGGTTAACGAATTGGCAGTTGGGATTATGCGTGCAAGATCGACTTTTTTTATAATTGGTGGCTTCAGCATACATTTTTGCTCGAACTGCTTTGGACGAGCTCAATCGCAAGAATTGAATTCGGCATCCCCGAAAACCCTTGAGTAACGAGTTTCGAGCGCTTCCCATGGACTATGCAATTTTCCCCCTAGAATGACCCCCTGGATACCCCCGCAGAGCCACCCCCAGGTAATTCCAATGCCAGAATTGAATTCGGCATCCTCAAAAACCCTAGGGTAACCAGTTTGGAGCGATTTTCATGCACGCTGCCATTTCTCCCCAATTCACCCCCCCGCGCAACCCCCACAGAACCACTCATGTGCACCCCCGGGTAATTCTAATACCAGAATCGAGTTCAACAGCCCCGAAAACCCCCCGAGTAACGATTTCCGAGAGAGAGATTTTTTCGAGTTTCCAGTCATGGTGCAAGTAATGATGCAATTGGAAAATATATTTTCCGGCCCAGAAAGCATTTTTTAAAAAATGGCTAAACCAGACGATATATACTTTTTTCCTGGGACCTTCCTGAACACAATGCAGAAAACCGCATCTCGATATCTGCTGTCCTAAAAATGTCCGCTATTCCGGTCGATTTTGATCATTTAGCCCTGTACTATATTAGTTAGTTAGTTACTTCGAGCATAGGTTAGTTAGTTAATAATTGATGTCACTTGTATATAGCAATATTTTAATTGTCGATCTTGATGTATTGCAAAAATTGATGTAACAAGTTTAATTAATTTTGTATGAAAACTTATTAAACAGTCCTTGATTAAATACATTTATTAAATCCATTCCACAATACATTAAAGTAAATTTTCAGTTTCTTGCTATTATTATATTATAATTTAAAATATATAGATAGCTTTTACTTTTTAAATAATAAGAGACCATTCGAATATGCTCATATTCCCATAAAATAAAGTCTGATTTGTAATAAAATTACAGTATGTAACATTTTTTATTCTTTGATCATAGAAATGAAATATTTATTCCTACATATTAGCTTAAACGATTAAAATCACTGAATAAATGTGTATTTTAATAAAAAAGTTTAAACGTCCATATCATTATGGAAGTCCAATACTATAACATCGTTAAGAATAAACCTTTTTATATTATTCTTAAAATATTAAATTTATGTTACTTTTATCCAAATTCGTTCAGTAAATCCGATATCATTATCTCGCATTTTATAAGTATCTTGTTACAGCTTTTTTATGGAACAGTATTTACATTTGGAAGTTTATATGATCTGGTAATGTCCATAAGAGGTGAGTTATTTTTTTAATTAGATTAAAATACAATGTCTATACAATGCCTAAGGGGAGTTTAATTCAGAAGCTTCAAAGTACACTATATTTGTGATAACTTGGTTGTGATCTCAAAAGAATATACTTTAATCCTTTAATAACAACTACCAAAAGTAATATGACAAGTCAAAGATTAGTAAACAGTATGTAACAAATTATTGAACAATAAGTAGGGGAGACTGAGGAGACAATGGATACTTTTGACGTTAAAATTTTTGGAGAGCTTATTTTGGATGTTCAAACAACGAATTACAGTTAATATAGATCCGTAGGCATTAAGGAACATTTCCAATGTAAATTGTAAGTTTACTAGAGTGATTTTTTTTTGGCATTGATTTTTATACAATGGTGCATTTTATCCAATATGTACTTGATATTAGGAGAGTATGGACATGCCATAGAAGACAATGGATATCATATATTTAAAAATAAAATTTCATTTAGCAATGTTATAAATCAGATTTATTAAAGAAATAACTTATTCTATTCAGTCTACAGCCTTTTGTATAAAACAATAACTAAAATATTAAACGTCATTCACAACCAACTGTTCCCTTATGTAAGAAAAACAATTCTTTCACCCAAAATAATTAAATTAATTGTAGATTTGTACAAACCTACTGTAAACTGTATTCTGATAAATCTACATTAAATTAGATCATTCCATCATATCTGGGCCTATGAATCTTTGATGGGTTTTGGCAGAATAAGTACCACATCTTTGAAAAATTCATCAGTAAATTTAAAACGGTTGGATTGAGAAATCAAGAAAAATGACCTTCTTTTTGACTATGTTTTTTTGTTTGTCATCACGTGGGGTGGACCTTTCGTCATGAAGTGTGCTTCTTAATGTAGAGGCATGTAATGTTAAATCAGGGTTGTTTGACACAATAGATTCATTAGCAAGTGAGGTTACTAATGTAGAGGTATTTAATGTTAACTCAAGATTGGCTGACACTGTAGATTCATCAGCATCTTGTATAATTGGCCGATCCGTAACGGCTGAACACAAAAAGTCCTCAGAAAACACGTTGCGGTCAAATGGAACAATCCCTGAACAACGGAAACCAGATTTTATGTTTACAGGGTTAGCTGCTCGATCCCATGACTGTAAGCACATAAGCGGAAGATCGTACATTTTTAATGTGTTTCCCGGGCGAGACAACTTTCAGGTATTTGCAGACTGATTAAAAAAAGGTCTTGAAGGGACCGAAAACTGTTCTATCCAACGGCTGACATTTGTTTGATGTGTGTGGTGGTAATGTTAAAATAATTATTCCGTTGCTTCTACAAAAATCAATAGCTTCCAAGGATTATCCATAATCAGAAAACCTTATTATCAGTAGAACAATTGACATTTTTAACAAAATGACTTAGAACTTTTAAAAAGTTTTCACAGGTCGTCCAACCACTTGGATAAGCTAAACCTAGTGGACCAGTGTCTGTAATTCTTTTTATCATTCTGGCTGGATTAAACCGATGACGAGGAAAAATCCAAACAGGGGGTAGGGCGTTACCATTTGCACAAATAATCCCTACTGGAATAATCAATTCCGCTCTTTTTCTTGAAGTTGCTTGACCTACTTGATGTTCCCCTTTTTTTCCCACAATTTTTGAACCGTAGTTATTTCAGTCTGAAGAATGGACAATGATTAATAACTTAAATAATTTCCTAACCGAGTAAATCTTACCTCATCCAAGTTAAAAATTTGAAAAGCGTTAAACAAATAGCGGGTCATGACAGATTCCAACTTTTCTTGAAATACTTTGACTGTCTCTTTGTTAAAACTTGTCATCCTATCTAAACTCGTAGCTACTGGCTTTCTAATTGAAAGTCTTTGGTGACGATGCATAAATCTTGAAAACCAATTGCTTCCAGCCATCTTTTCATTTTGCCGTTTTCTTGGAACACTCAATCCATTTGTTATCGCCTATTCATACGCTAATCTTATTAATGATTTTAACGTCAGTCCGTAAAACATTTTAGAGCATTTAACCTTTCGGGACTGGCGTGAAATGTTTGTGATCCGGCGATGGCGGCGGACTGTGAGTGCGCATAATAAACGGGTAATGACATTTCTGGACATTTCTTGAATATTCTTTTACTTGTACTTTTACTTATGACGACCGCAGCACACTGTAGAGTGATGAGTAACATTCCACTTCTTTTTCTATCTGTACATTTCCTATGATAGCCGCAGGCTACTGCAGGGTGCTGCGTAACAGTGCTCTCTCCTCTCTAGTTATTCGCCCCAAATAACTGACTACTGGGATCTGATTGGAGCCAACAGAGAGGATCTGAACCACGGTATGGCCACAGCTTATACAATACAGCTCCACAACTCCGTGTCGGCGTCTTTGATCTGGCGGTCGAGAACCAAGCAAGGCGGAATCGTGCTATCTCTGTTAGATTAAAGGGAAAAGTCGGGCCCGGATTAAGCAATTTTTTTATTATTGAAAAAATTGAAAACCTTGACGTAATAAGGTTGGTTACATGCCATGTTAAGTAAGTTTTGGGAAATTAAATTTTTAATTTGTTTTAAATCTGTCAAATATAATTAAAAAATTATTTAAATATAAATATTACGAAAAATAGCACATCTTTCGGATTAGAGGTAAAATAATTTGTATGTGGCTAGTAAAATCCTCGTTAACAAATGTTTTGAGCTAAAACAGTCACTTCACGACAAATTGTGACTTGGATCCTTTTTACACCAAGGGCTTCAATTGTTAAAGAAATGTGTCACGCTCGTGGATGCAAATCAAGTGGTACCCCGTGTCTCTGGCAAGTGTTACTCTTCGCGCAAAGGGTTTATACCTAGATAAACGAATGCTTCGACTGAGGTCTGGGAACTCTATGGTATTTTGGAATTATAAAGAATTTGTGCTTTTATTTTAACAATATTGGTTATATTTAGATGTATTCTTATTAATTGAAATACAGATTTGTAGAAGTAATACTTTGACAGTTTTTATTAATATAATATATTCAATTTTTATCTGACCATACCGAAGTAGGGAATTTTGAAACTTTATAGTAATGTGAAATTTGAATTACAATATTACACGATATTACATAATTAATACTTATTTTAGGTAGGTACTAAATTTGTACTTGGAGAAAGTAATATCGATTTTTACAAGAAAACTTGAAAAGTAAATTAATTTAGTTCTTATTTCTGATGTAAAACTTAAACCAAGAAAACAAATAAATTGTAATTTATTCAACAAGGGTGGATATGATAGCCATATCACACAAAGACGAAGTTTGAGCACGACGTCGTAGGCGGAGTACTCAATCGTCTGATTGTGATATGAACAATCCACTCGATATGGTGAGTATATTTTTTCTACGACCCACTAACGAAAATCTACAAATTTAAAAAATTATTTTAGGTTATTTAGACAAAATAATTAATTTTAAAATAATTTACGAAGTTGACTAATTTATAAAATAAAATAAACATGAAAAATTAATTAGTCCTCGGCCAAGATTCGATCCCGGGCTTTTCGCATAGAAGGCAGATGTTCTGTCCTCATCTTCACCGAAACTTTCAGGACTTTAGTTTTAATACTCGTAATTAAATTAGTATCATGTAGTTTGATTAAAATTAATTTTTTTTAAATGTGGACATAATAAAAACAAAAATGCTATTATTTATCGAGTCTACACAAAAATTTTAATGTATATTTAATATCAATAACTAAAATATATATTGACAATTAGTTTAACAGAATTGTCACTTATTTAAAAAATTTTAAATAATAGGAGTTGGGTGACCAAAATATGAACTGTGATTTGTAGATTTAATTTTGTTAAAGTGTTCTCACTACCTAAAATGGATATGAAATATATTCGTAGTTGAACGCAATAACATAATTTTTCGTTTTGTAGTATGTGCGTAGATTAGCTAATATCCATGCACAAATTACAAAACGAAAAAGTATGATATTGTCTTCAATTGAACGAATATATTTCATATCCATTATAGGTAGTGAGAACACTGCAAAAAAAAATAAATTCGCCAATCACCGTTCATATTTTGATCAACCGACTGCTATTATTTTTAAAATTTTAAATAAATGACAATTCTGTCAAACTACTTGTCAGTATATTTTTTAGTTATTGAGATTAAACATACAATAAAATAAGTTATTCTTTTGGAAAACGTTAGCATGGATGACTAAAGGGTATTGGGTTAATTAATTCTAAAAGTGTGGTACAAATGTTATTTTTTGTAGCCAATTCTTCAAAATTATTTTAAAATATCTTTTCCAAATGTATCTGAATTGGCGTTATCATATGCCTTTTAAAAGCAATAAAAAGAAAAATCGTCTAATTCAACGTGATCTTTGTTATATTTAAGACAGGTATCGCAGGAGTGGACCCGCAAGGCTTTTATTAAAAGGTAACCACACACATACCTGATAAAATTTTTCTGTAGCAATTCGTCTTTACAATAATTTAGGGTGTTAATAATTTCATCATAAAATAAAATACAAGGTGTTCCATTTAAAAAACATACATTTTAATTTTCCAGGCAAAAACGTGACACCCTGTATATCCAAAGATATTTTTAAAACATGTAGGTATTTTTCAAATCCATATAACTTTTATTTAAAACTTTCTTGCGTGTCTACAACAAAATAATGAACAATAACGCACTAATGAGACACCCTGTATAAATTATATTTTTAACAATGAAAATTTCTTATAATGTAGTACTTATCGGTTTGGGTCCTTGGAAAAACTAAAGAATGTTTTCTTGCAGGTATAACCCTTATTAAAACAGCTTTTGACTGCACAAACTCATTCTACTCACAGCTAAAGAGTCACCAAAATAATAACAGTACCTTTAACTCAAACAAAATCAACGAAATTATAGGCTCCACGAAATTATACAATCAACGAAATTATACGCACGACTCAACACCTTACCTAAGTACGCTTCTGAACCCAA